TTTCCCCTCTGGTCTCTCAGTCACTGACGAAAGCTAGTGGATACTAGCTGAAACGTCTGACGTTTTCAAAATCATATCCAGTTGCTTGAGTAACTGTTTTTTGGCATACTTCTGCATTTGTTTTGCTGCGGTTGAATACATTTCAAGAGAAACACCCCCAAATTGTACAATCACATATACAGGGCGCTATATAGATGGTACTGTATGTGCAAACCATGGGCTCTGCAGTACAAGGGTTAATAACTGTCAATTTCTTTCCTCAAAATGTGGACAAATTTTGTTTAGAAATTTGCTTGAGTTGTTAAAAAGGATATACTGTATCTACTATATAATATAGGTACTGTACTATATAATATTTTTCTTCATCAATGTCAGTATTCAATTTGTTTGATCATAAAACCAAGTAGAATGGCATTGTGACAATTTTTGTACAGTGCACTAACTTGAAGGATTGTAGATGTTAACAATGTACTTGACTCAAATTTTGATTGTCTGTTGTCAGTGTAGATTTTATAGCTGTTGGACCACATAAAATGCTCTGTATTCTAATCATATTGACAAAAATTTTGTGAATCACCAACTTCGAAATATTGGAAGTTGGTGATTCACTACAAATCACCTGGATGGAGGCCTGGTGAACCCCCATGATTTACATATCACCCTTGGGGACTTCAGGAAGAATTGTATGAAATTTATGTAACACTACTGGAGATCCTAATAAAACAAACAAACAAACAAACAAACAAACAAACGTTCACCTGATGAGAGAGTACATAGACATGATGTACTGTGGCTCCTTGGTCTCAGGGTTTCGGAACAACTTGCTCTTGGTCTGTGCGTGGACCCAGTTACCTCCCGGGAGCTGGAACTTGTAGATCTGACTTGTAGCCGTGCCACACGCCATTACTGTAAGGACAGAAGATGGCGTGTTAAGCAGATGACAGCAATGGATCTATTGCAGTATTACGTCACAGTTTTTTTACCGCAATGAATGCCGGTCAATCAACGTTTATATTGTACAGGGGTGTGTGTTTGTGCAGCGTTAGCCTTAATATAACACCTTTAATACAGTACTACTTTTGTCTAATGTCACAACTAAATCACCCTTTACAGCATGTAATGCTGTGTCAACAAAAGTATAGACGCAGCAAAAATCAAATATACCTGACTTTGAAAACTTTGAAATGATCTTTATTCTTTAACTGACCGTTCTAGAATGTTCTTTAAACAGGTAAACAAACTGTGACGTAATAATGTGATATCCTTAATATCCATAAAAGGACTCAAGCCCCAGTGTCATGCACACATCAATGAATATAAAAGAATTTTTCATTGACTCAACAAAAGTACAGGGACTTTTGTATGGTCTACTACAGCTAAGATCAAACAAAACTTAAGTCAACTTACGTACAGAATATACTGTACATGTACATGTATGCAGCAAGCTATGTACAGAATATATGTCAGCCACAAAATTAGAGGTTTAACTAGTCTCTATAGCTATAGGAGCAGGTCAGAAGCAACGGTCGCTGGGGTTGGCTGGTGTTCGGCCTAGTTGGCTACAGTTTGGCTGCACCAGCCAAAGGTTTCAAAATGTTAAAAAAAGCATTTGGGGTGGACGGGAGGTTTGGCTGGTGTTCGAGACTAGGTCAGCAGTGTTCAGGGTTCAAATTTGACTTAAAGTTAACTCAATTTCAACTGGATTCATATAGAAACTTCAGAAGTGACCTAAATGAGGTCAGACTGCTCCTGAAAATCAGCCAAATTGTGTGACAAGGGCTTATGTCTTTGAAAAACAACAACTGTGTGGCCCAAGGGCTTTAGAAACAGAGACAAGCACAGCTCTTTACACCAAATCAGCAGGAATATAACTTTTAACTAAAAAAAAAACATTTAGATTGAAAAAAAAATAGTATTGTCTCTTTTTCCTATAAGCAAGGACTCTTTCATTTGGCCAAGCCACCACCACAGACTAACTGCATGGCAAACAGATATTACATAACATGTCATCCATGCAAGCTTTAGTCTGAGACAAAACAAAAATACACCTTTTCTGATACCTGATACAGATCCATCTGTCCGGTGAGTGCGTATACACACATAAACTAAAATAAAATAAAGGTTATTCCTTGTTTTAAGATAATCTAAAGACTCATTCATTCACTCACTATCCAGTTATTGTCTTTGGAAAACAACAACTATATACGCAGGCCCAGTGTTCTAGCCAGCATCCGTCGTTCCCTCATTTGACAGAATTTTACCTCTCATGACGAACAAAAAGTTTAATCAATCCGTCATCTTTGACAGACAAAATTCAACTATGGAAAAACATTTCATTCTACTAAGTTTAGTCTACAGCAAAATTTGCCCCTCAAATTGCAGGAAATAGCATTTCCGAAGGTCAAGATTTCTACACTTTCTTGTTGCGCCTTCAGGGCTCGAAATGATGTTTTGTCAAGGACAGTCATCATAAAGGGAATGTCCATGGTTACGTCAAACAAAATTGAAATGAGAGAAAAAAATCCAGGCTTCTAGAAGATTGATGTGGCCCAAGGGCTTTAGAAACAGTGATGGTCACTACCCAATACACCAAGACAGTGTAGGAACTTAAGACAAAAATCCCTGGTTGAGAAAAAGACAATGAAAGTAGTTCCCACCTTCTTTGTGGTGTTTGGACATGACCCAGGCTTCGCAGTCCTTGTACAGCTCCGTGAGACAGCGCCGCACGATTTCCCCGTGCGGTACGGACGTGCTGAGCCCGCTGGTGTCCACCGCGAGGATTTTACCGTTGATGTCCTGTCGCGTGGAGAACTGTTCTAGCGGCATGACTGCCTCTACGTCGGTTGATTCCGCTACTTTACTGGCAATGCATACCAGACATGCTTCTGGAACTAAACAGGAATATCACAGATTATCATATAGCCATAAGACATTGACATTTGTGGATGGATTGACTTATCACCTTTTCAGAAAACATACAAGTCTCTTTCCTGATATCAGTTCAGTACTACTGACAGGGATAGCATTTCAATACTATGCAGGGATAGCATTTCAGTACTAGGCAGGGATAGTATTTCGGTACTAGGGACAGGGATAGTATTTCAGTACTTGGGACAGGGATAGCTTTTCAGTCCTAGGCAGGGCTAGCATTTCAGTACTAGAGACAGGGATAGCATTTCAGTACTGGGGACAGGGATAGCATTTCAGTACTAGGTATAGGGATAGTATTTCAGTGCTAGAGACTGATAGTATTTCAGTACTAGGGACAGGGATAGCATTTCAGTACTAGGTATAGGGATAGTATTTCAGTGCTAGAGACTGATAGTATTTCAGTACTAGGTACAGGGATAGCATTTCAGTGCTAGGGGCAGGGATAGTATTTCAGTGCTAGGGACAGGGATAGCATTTCAGTACTAGGGAGTTATGGCATTTCCGTGCTTGGGACAGAGATAGCATTTCAGTAGTAGGGACAGGGATAGCATTTCAGTACTAGGCAGGGATTGCATTTCAGTACTAGTACAGGGATAGCATTTCAGTACTAGGGACAGGGATAGCATTTCAGTACTAGTACAGGGATAGCATTTCAGTACTAGGGACAGGGATAGCATTTCAGTACTAGGCAGGGATTGCATTTCAGTACTAGTACAGGGATAGCATTTCAGTACTAGGGACAGGGATAGCATTTCAGTACTAGGGACAGGGATAGCATTGCAGTACTAGGGACAAGGATAGCATTTCAGTAGTAGGGACAGGGATAGCATTTCAGTACTAGGCAGGGATAGCATTTCAGTACTACTATTTGGGACAGGGATAGCATTTCAGTACTTGGGACAGGCTGGGATAGCATTCATACCACTCCCAAGGGCACAACACAGAGCCCTCCCAGGGATTTGAACCCAGAACCACTGGAATCTGTGTCAACATCGCTAACCACTAAACCACCTTGCCACCATGTCAAGTGCCTTTTTCAATGGTACAACATAGGGCCATAGTGGTGGATTTGAACCCAGGACCCATTATGCCACACAATCCCATCCTGGTAGACTTTTTTTATCCAAACATTTCTCACATCACATGGTGACAACACACTTTTTCAACTTACTATTATGCCATGACCAACACAAAAGACAAACACACAAACAGACAATAGACATACTCATTTTCACCTGAGTTAAGTGAGGAAATTTGTGTTCAGTGCCTTTTCCAAGGGCACAACATTGGTAGCATTGCAGGATTTGAACTCGGGACCTCTTGGTTCGGAGTCGAGCGCTCTGCCATTTTGCCACAGTATCCCACAAAGAAATTGGAACAACAATGCGACACTAAAATGAACTACACTTCTTCAGACTCACCATCATTGCCGTCCTCAGTTTTCCCTTTAGTGGGGTGTGGATGGTAGACAGCAGAGCACTGCATGGTCTTGTACTGTGGCGTCTGTGTGCGATGTTTCTCCATGTCTTCTTCTGGTTCCAGCTTCACCATCATGCGACACTGGAACGAACGACACTTCTTTCCCGTGGCGTCCGCTCCCCAACCCACGCCATTACCTTAAGAAGGAAAGGAAAAAATACTCTCACAATGCAAAAATTTGTAAAATACACATAGCACTATTTAAACCTTGCAATACTAGTTGTTACGTCAATTTTTACTCAAATACATTCATATGGTCAGACTAGAGTCTAAATCCCTCCTGCTATAAAATTACAACATGATGTAACCTAACACTAGTTACCATGGTGACATACGTCTGGTTCAGGTCATTGATCTTATTTGTTTGGTAAAGAAGAAGAGGAAACAGAGCAAAAACAATACGTTTTCCTTCGGTAAATACAATAATGTTTATTCTTACTCAAATGCATTTGTATATTATATTAATAAAGCCTGAAGCCACCATAATGACTGCTGCAACAGTGCCTCAAAAGATAAAAATGCCTCCGCCCCTGAGGCATCGCCAAAAACTGACTGAAAACAATATGTTTCCCTTCCGTGAAGGCAAACACAATCCTTGAACATGAAGCCTTACCGAGTGACATGGGGAGTAGACAGTTGACAAACTGGGTGTGGTCTCCCACATGGATGATGTTATACACACTGGAGCCCATCAGTTCATCATGTGTGTAGCTCAGGTAGTTCTGCACATTGTTAGAGATGAACTCCAACTTGCCCTGGCTGTTCACCACAAACAGGAAGCCATTCAGCGCCTGTAGAAAGGAATCAGAATGACAGACACCATTTAGTAGTGTGTTAAAGGGGCATTATGTAACAATTGTTTTGCACCAAAAAGTGAAATATCTTAAACTGAAAAAAAATCTTCATATTGTGATTGCCATTTTACTAAATCTTCTTTTTAGCATATTTGTTCCACATTTCTGACATTTATTACCTTCGCCAAGAAGGTTATGTTTTCAGGGGCGTTCGTGTATGTGTGTGTGTGTGTGTGTGTGTGTGTGTGTGTGTGTCTGTCAACACGATAACTTGAGAAGGCCTTGATGGATTGTCTTG